AAATTTACGCTCATGACCGGGAGGAGAGAAAGTGAACAAGCGGGAGAATTGTGTAAAGGCTGTAGAAAAAGAGACATTACTAATAGAGATGCACCAATTGCAATTTTCTTGGCCGATTTTCGTTCAACTGATTCATTCAAACGATTCATTCAAACAGCTGATTCATTCAGAAACGAGGCAAGTGACTGTCCTTATGAATGGGCCACTGAATCATTGACTCACTCGATTCGTTCAAAAACGTTGATTCATTCAGTAACGAAACACAGCTGTGTGTTGCTCGGAGACACACAACAGTTCTGCTGTGGCTTTGATCGGAAATATTTTCGTCAGCGAAATTGAGCATAAACAGTCAATATTTTGTCTAATATCTTAAGTCACTTAATTTTAACTTCTTGTTTATTGAAATACTATTGTATAAAATCAGTGTCACATTGCAATCATGTTGATATTGATATTCGGGGAAACATCATGGCTGTATAATGTTGCTTACCTAAATCATATTTTGTAAATATCTTTTTTTTTTCTACCGCAGTATATGCATCTATAAATTTCTGTGAGTTATTTTTGTGTGTGCTGTCTCTCTCACACACTCACTCAGGCTGTGCAAGCCTCATCTGGCACGACATAAATACATTATCGTTTACACTGAATGCAATTAAAATTAGAATCATTCTCACGTGAAACGACATGTTTACACGCGACTGTGAGTGTCCGCATGGCTGTGACGTCATTGCCGGCGCCGCTGGCAATAAAAGGATCGGCTCGGAATCGGCAAGACGTGGTGAGACTGACCGGCCTGTCACCGATCCGGGCCGGTCATGCGAAAAATCGGCCCTGACTGATCACTGGCCGGTCAATCTAGTGCTAAAGAGGTCAGAGGAATATAACTGGGAAAACAGGTTTACCATCAGGCAAGCAAGTCTTTGCATGTCAAATCAACCAAACTGCAGAAACTTCCCCAGTTCAAATGATTTTTTTATTTTTTTTTTCTCGGAAGAAAGACAAACATAAATAGTGATAAAATTCAAAATATTAAATGTCTCGGATGAATATTTACTGAGTAATCTACTGTTTTGTAGAGGGGGTTCAAAATGACAATCTCACCTGAGATTGAAGATAAAAATGACTTTAGAAGGATGGCAGCATCACAGAGATTTTACACAGAGATTGGTAGGCCTTTTAGTAAAATATTTTGACTTAATCTTTGTTGCATATATGCCAATAGTGACAGTTCAAAAATGGATTTAAGGTCAACTTAATATCCTTTTAGATTTTAACAAACTTTTTTTTTTTTTTTTGGTATCCTTATTTTTAAGGCCTTACTACCTTTCTGGGCCTTGAAATTTTGAGTTGCATTGCTGTCTATGCAGGGTCAGAAAGCTCTCGGATTTCATCAAAAATATCTTAATTTGTGTTCTGAAGATGAACGAAGCTTTTATGGGTTTGGAACACATGAGGGAGATTAATTAATGAAAGAATTTTCATTTTTGGGTGAACTAACCCTTTAAGGTAAATCTAGAGGATAAGGAAAAAATATCTAAATTTAAGACTAAAAATAATATGAATGTTCAGATGGATTATGGTAGAGAATTTGGAAGGGAAAATGTGTTAATGGTCCTAAAAAACATAATGGTCCTAAAAACAGGCTTTGTTATCTTTATGCAGTAATTTTCTATTTATATTTCTTTGGGTTTTGGAGTGAAATTGGACCACAGCATATTTTTGTGAGATTTATGCTAAACATTTGTGCCGTTAAAAATGTTTAGTGGTAAAAAGAAATTGAGAAAAAATAAGTTTCATCGGTATTTGCAAATTCAGTATCACAATTGCAAGGTATTATTGATTTTTGTTTCCAGATTATATTTAACTCTCCTGATGAGATATTTATTTACAAATATAAGAATTGACATAAATCTGATTTCAATCTTTAATAGTTTTTGTGTTTTGTTGTAGGTCTAGGAGTTGTATTTGGCTCTTTCTGTAAGCGGTTCTGGATCGGTCAGTATGCAGGGCTGGGTGACTCTGGCTCTGTTGCTGAGCCTCGGGGTCAAACGCTCCCTCACACAGAACGGTGAGTGTCATCAAGTTTGATCAAGACGTTTTTGAGAATTCTCACTCCAGGTTTAACTTGGATTATGTGACATTAATGAAACGTGTCGTAACTCTGGTTTAATTTAGTGGTAGTCACCCACAATTAAATGTATTAATACACTTTATTCCATTCAAAAGTGTGGGGTCGGTGAGTTTTTTTAAATAAAAAATACAGCAATAGCAGTAATATTGTGAAATAATATTACAATGAACTGTTTTATAATAACTAATAATAGTAAGAACTGTAGTGCATGCACTGAAAGGAGCTATTCATCAAACTCTCTTCAAACTTCTTGTTATTTCCTCTAAAACTTTGCACCATCTGACCACCAGCCATCATAATTGATAGAATTTCGCACACTGTACGGCTTATTTAATTCATTACAAGTATATGCCAGGATTTAACAAATGAAATGAATCCTTTGGTCATGTCTCCTTCTCTCTCTTTGTAATGTTACAGGTCTGGGTGAACCTCCTGTACCTCGTGGTTTAACCTTAAATCCTGATCTACCTGCACAGACTCTTTCTTTGAGATGGCAGAGTGACTTGTCGCTTTTTGACCTGGAGATTTTCCACACCGAGCTCATGAATGTGGTGCTGAATGTAAGCGCTCTTACATCTCTGCCTTTGTCATTTCAGCTGTTAATCTGTGTTGTGTTGAAATATGCATTTGGATGTGTGTCAAAAAGCACTGAACACTGGGAATCATTTCAGGAACATCCTATTACAATACGGTTCCACCTTCAATTCAATAACAAGAGATTAAATGCAAATACTCTGAAACCAGTTTCTCCGCTCAGTGTTTTCCTGTCTCGTATGAGTCACTGACTGTGACTTAAAGACCTCAGACATACATGTTATGATAGCAGTAACACCCATATCTAACTTGTTTTGGAATTTTTTGGTCAATGTTAGTTTTTCCATACTGCAAAGTCTCCTTTTCATATTGGGATGATTTATTATTGCATGTCGACCCTTAAAGGAATTGTCAGGGTTAAATGCAACTCTGTCGACATCATGTTGATTACCACAGAAAATAATGTCTGCTGGCCTTTTATTGTAATTGCATTACTGTTCCCTTTTAACTGAGGGATCGAGTCGATATGACTTCCTGTGGTAATCGACAACATGCCACAGACTGTTGATAGATCTAATGCAGAATATTCAGAAGTCATCATGAAATCAATATGTACACGTTATTCCAAATCTTTAATTTAAAAAGAAATAACTTGCTCCGCTTTTGAACCGACATTTCATCTAGGCTGGCAGGAAAACAATGTGAACCAATAGCCCAAATCAAGCTGTTTAGTCATAGTTTTAAGCTGCTGTTGTAGGTAATGTAGACTTTTTAAAATATATTTTCAATATTTAACACAGAAACTTAATGCAAAACAGTTTCCGGCAATAATAGCTGATAACGATTTAAAAAAAAGAAGCATTTCTGGATATTTTGAGATGCTGTCGAGAGCGAATTTGACTTTCAGTCATATCCTGGTCAGAAGAACTCCTCAAAAGTGGAGCAGATCACCCACAATCCACTGCAAACTCGCATTCAACTCGCAAGTCCACTTTTTCAGCAGCCTTGATTCTGGAAGTATTTTTTAGTTCAGTTTTCCCATAGGGATTTTAAAAAGTCTGTTTTAAAATTATAAGCCATGGACCAAACCAGCCAGCTAATAAGAAGGTGCATTTGATTTGAAGCAATAAATTACTTGAAAATTGAACTAAAAGACAAAGTACACAACTATGTACCGACCTACACTTATCACTAAATATTGATATGGAAGTAAATTGGGTTGCGAATGCTGACGTGAAGGATCAATACAGCTGTTTGGTTTTCAGAATGTAGAGCATGACGCTAGCAACACCAAAGCTGTGAGTTCGATTTCCAGGGCATGCATGAACTGATAAAATGTGAGCGCGATGTAAGTCGTTTTGGATATAATCATCTGCCAGATGCATAAATGTCAATTTTCTCTTTTAATTTGTAGGAGACGGTGGCAGTTAAAGCAGATCCTGTGACAGGACTGCATAGTTGGACTTGGCACTCGCCGTTACCCTTGGAGTGCACTTCTCATTCTGTGCGCATCAGAGCACGAAACCAGCTGTCGGTCAGCCAGTGGAGCCCCCTTCAGACCATTCCAGGTACTCAAAACACTTCTGAAATGGTGCTGGTCTTGAAAGCTTTCTCAAAACCAGCCCACGAGCAAACATAGCACTTTGTGGCCCTTGTTTTGGGAACTTAGTTTAGCATCCAAAGCAATGTAATCCCGTCTTTATGCTTCTGTTGTGACAGTTAGAAGTTATTTAAATTTATAGTTTTATTTGTTAATTCATAAAAATGGTATTTAAAACCCTTTACTTCAGACAGACAGGGAAGCTATAGTCGATGGAGTAGATGTGCAGTGTGACAAAAATAGGAACTGGCCTTTAAATGCAGACACATCCGTTGATTATAATGGCAGCGATCTAATTTCGTACCATATAGGTTTCTTTTTACGTTTGGAGTTCTTGTTTTGAAAACTATACTTGGTAAGGACATAATCTGTTTCTTTGGATGCACTAGAAAATACTTCCTCTTCTAAGAAACATTTAAGTCATTATTTAAACCATACACTGAACTTGTGAAATCTCATCCTTTTGTCTCTAGGGTCGGATATTCCTGTGAAGTCCGAGTCTTATATGTTTCCCCAAGATAAAATGGTTCCCGTGGGCAGTAACATGAGCTTCTGCTGTGTTGTTAAGGAGAAGGAAGATTTCAAAGAAATCATGTACGGGCGTCAGAAAATGAATGCCACACGATTGAGCAGAAGAACATATGCCATCACAGTAACCAACCAGCCAGCATCGGGCAACACGGGGACCAACGTGATCTGCTTTTCCCAAAGATTGACCCTCACAGGAGCTGTGGTGTTTGTAGGCTGTGAGTTTAATTATAATATACAAAAATATTACCATGTAAAGAGATTTTTATCATACATTTAATACATTTACATAGACTACCATTCAAAAGTTTGGGGTCAGTAAGATTTAAAAAAAAAAAACATTTTTTTAAATGTTCCCCAAGGCTGCATTTATTTGATCAAAAATACAGTAAAAACAGTAATATTGTGAATTGTTATTATTATTATTAAAATTTAAAATAACTGTTTTCTGATTGAATATATTTTAAAATGTAATTTATTCCTGTGATGCTAAACTGAATTTTCAGCATCATTACTCCACGTGTCACACGATCCTTCAGAATCACTCTAAGATGCTGATTTGGTGCTCACAAAACATTTCTGATTATTATGAAGGTTGAAAACAGTTGTGCTGCTTACATTTTTGTGGAAACCGTGATACATTTTTTCAGGATTCTTTGATTAAATAAAAAGTTCAAAAGAACAGCATTTATTTTAAATAGAAGCTGTTTGTAACATTACAAATGTCTTTACTGTCACTTTTGATAAACAACAAAACAAAAAAAATCTGAACAAAAGCATTCATTTTAATTTCTTAAAAAAAAAAAAAACTGACCCCAATCTTTTGAACCTCAGTATGTATGTGTATATATATATATATATATATATAATTAATTCAAAAAGTGTGTATATATGTAATGTATGTATATATAATTAATTTAAAGGAAAAATGCAACTTTTAAAATAATTGGACATATTATTTTTATATTCTGTTTCTTTTTTTCCACAAATTGAGTCCAAACATTGGGTCCTGTTTGCAATTTATAAAAAAAGGCTATATGAATGAAAGTGGCTGTAGTTTTTCTACTAGGTATTTATCTTTAAAAGCAGTTTGCTAAAGTACTATGATATATAAGCTCAATAAACAATCCAGCACTGTAAAATGCGCATACGACTTCAGAAAGCAAGAAAATTTGAGTGTTCATTTTTAGCATAATGACTGGCACTAGATGATTGCTGTGCAGTGTTAAAGAGCGACTTGCATGTGGCTTTGTTGTATGTAATTGCTGTAGATCCGCCGGGCGATGAGGGCTTGGTCTGCGAGACGCGGGACCTGGCATCCGCAGAATGTTCTTGGAAAAAAGGACGAGACACTCGCTTGAGAATGAAACGCAGCCGCACTAAATACACCCTTAATGGAAGGCAAGAAACACACTACACAAGAACCACTGACCGCACACACTCTCCCATTTGGCTCTTGGTACCGTAATGTCCTCGGTACATAAAAAGATCCCCAAACAGCAAACCACATTAAATGAGATGGAAAAGGATACTTGTGTAATGCAGTGTATATTTTTACTGCTAATCCAAGAATTCCATTAGTGTTCTAATTAAATTATTATACCATTTCTTGTGGTAAGATTATATCAATATCATAAATATAATTTTGTATACATGTATGTGTGTGTGTATTTTTTTTATATAAAATAGAAACAATTAAGATATTAACTATTGCGATTATGGAGACGTTAATATTAGATATTTAATAATTATTTATTATAATAATAATTAATAATAATAAATGTACATATACTACCGGCTAGACCAGAAGCTTGGAATAATTAAGATTTTTTTCAAAATATTTTTAAAAGAAGTTTCTTAAACTCACCAAGGCTGCCATTTATTTGATCACAAATACAGTAAAACGGTAATATTGTGAAATATTATTACAGGATCAAATAACTATTTTCTATTTGAATATATTTTGAAATGTAATTTATTCCTGTGATGCAAAGCTGAATTTTTAGCAGTCATTACTCCACATGTCACATGATCCTTCAGAAATTATTCTAATATGCTGATCAAGGAACATGTCTTATAATTATCAATGTCGAAAACAGTTATACTGCTTCATATTTGTTATTAACTTGTGTCATGTATATGTTTACTGCTAATCCAAGAATCCCATTAATGTTTTGATGCAATTATCGTACCATTTCTTGAATGAATTCATGAACGTCTGAATATGATTAAATAATGAATATGATTTTATAAGCCATTTTTCTATCCACAGGGACTGTTTGGAGGCTAATGAAAAAAAGACATGGTGGTGTAGCTCGAAGATCTGGGAGGAGAACTGGACTCTGGTGGCTCGAAATCCTCTTGGAACAGTCCAGCTTACTGACTCGGCCCAACTCACTGACCGCGGTACCGCATTTTCAATACATCTTCCGTTTCAATGCATATACTGTATCTACATTATAAATAGAGTCAGAGCGAGTGTCTTAATATTCTCATGACTGAGAACTCTTGTGATGTTTTTGTCTCTCTTCCAGTACATCTGTTGGCTCCAGCGAATGTGACAGCGGTTGAAGTCAAGGCGTGGAGCACCACACTGCAGTGGAGCTGGTCTGTGGCGGCGTATAAAAAGCTGGAGATGGTCTGCCAGCTGCGGCTCTTCACCCATGAACTTTCCAGCACAGTAAATTTACTGCTCAACTTTCAGCTCCCAGAACCCTGTTTGTTTTTTGTGTGGTCTTGGAATTAAAGGGATAGTTCACCCGAAAATGAAACTTCTAACATCATTTACTGACATTTACTCGAGAACAGAAATCAACAGAAAACAGCTTTTATGTCAAGATCTAGAGAGAATTAAGTGATCGTGACAAATCAAGACAGAAGAATGCATGATTCTTGTTCTCAGAAAACTCAAGAACAACATAAAAAGTGCCCAAAGTAATACAGTAGCTCTGTAAATTTTACTAATTCACTGAAAATCGTTCCCTCTGTCCCAGGTTGTGCACATGCATTTGAATACTGACTTAAATTTCTGTTTGTTCTTTACATAAACCTATTTTATGGCTTCAGAAAATGAAGCACAAATCTAGAAAAATTAAAACGGAAAATAGAATTTGGTGAAAAATTAATTAAAGAATATGAGAAAACAATTAAATGTATTTTATTAGGGCCCTAAAGGTGTCATTTTTATTAAACTTTTTATAAATTGTTGCTCAAATCTATAGGTTTCATGATTTAAATAAATTAGGCATGCTTCTTGATTGCTAAAATTTATTTTAACCATCAAAGTGGAGTCCATAAAAAACAATTTAATTTTTTTTTTAAATAAACAAAAAAACGGAATTTGGAAAAAATTAAAATGAATTTGGGAAAAAATAAAACCGATTTAATAGGGCCCAACATTATTCATGCTTGCTCTTTTTCAATATTTTTCAAATTTCATTACTGAATTTTTTTATTAAGTTTCTTAAGTATTTTCCTAAGTATAAATGTTTATCAAATATCAAATTGTAAAAGATTTTAGTAATTTAAATTTATTTATTTGTTTGTTTATGTTTGTTTGTGAATTAATATTGTTACATTTTTGTATACAATTAATTTAATTGTTACTGTTTGCGGTTTCTCAGAGCTCAGCAGAGGAAGATGGCTGGACAACAGTTTCTCTTCCTCCTGGGAACTTTAGCTATCCCATCATCCTTAACAACAGCAGTGACATCACCGTTGCCGTGGCAGCGCGAAACCCAGCTGGTCTCTCTCAGCCTTCCACTGTGACCACACCAGCATACAGAGCAGGTACAGGGCGCATGGAACATTTCCTAGAACTAGACTATTAAAATGTTGTTTTGTGCGTTTTTGACTTTTTTATAGGTTATTATATTATTTTATATTATTATATTTTTATTACATTGTTTATAAAGATTTTTTATAAATTTTATATAAATATAATTATATGCTAATATACTTATAAGTAGATTTAATATATTTATTATACTTTCATACATATACACACATACAGTGTGTGTGTATATATATGTATTGTGTGTTATTTTTTGTTGTTGTTATCATTAATAATTAAAACACCCATTATAAATTAATATATTTAAATGTATTTATATTTGTATATTAATATATTTTTAAGTAGTTTTAATAAGTAATTTTATTGTATGTATTGTATGTTTATATTATTATTAAATTGTTACACGTGTTTAATTATGTAATAATAATTATTATTATTGTTGTTTTTGTTGTTATTATTAAGAACCCATTTATTTAAAAAAAATAGAGCAGCTAAAGTTAATGCATTTTGAAGATAAATGTTTAGTGCCATTGGCATTAAAAAATTGAACATGGCTATTTTGACATTAAAACTGTTTCACTTTATTCTGTGTGATTTCTGACTGGTCAGAATTGTCAAAACCTTTAAGTTACTTGAACAGTATTTCACCATCTAATGGCTGAATGTATCAATCTTAATGGCTATTTTATGTATAAATGAAATTTAAATTAGTAAATAACTGTTAATTAAGTTTTTTAGTGGAACTGTTGTACTGATCGTTATATATCGCAGTTAACTCTTTTAATCCATTGATAGCTGTAATAAACAACAAGGCAGCTAATTCAGACTAGTGTTAAACTCTGTGTGTTGTCAATGTGATTTTCCTTTCCTGTAGATTCCCAGCTGTCTGTGTCTGAGCTGCTCGGCACAAATGGATCATTTGTCCTCTCCTGGGAGCCTAATGTCAATGCGAGCAGCGGGTACGTGGTGGAGTGGTTCCCGACTGGCTGCAGTGGACTCTGCCCCGTTGACTGGAAGAAACTTCCAGAATCAGACAGCAGCTTCACAGTGAACTCAGGTGAGTCTTTTAAATTAATCTACAAGTGATTTATCTCTTGCACAAAAATATTTTCTTTTAATTACCTGTTCTTTTAGTGAATACAGTGACTCTTAAAAGTATTTGGACACTTAAAAATACCTGAATGCCATTGCATAGATAATAAAATACTAAAACGTCTGCACTCAAATGCTGCAAGATCTTTTCTCTACACTATCTTCGCTCTCCTTCATAATCTTCACTCACTGTTACTGAATCAGCAGGTGTTTTAATAGATCTATAAAGTCAGTTCTTGTGCTTTCTTTAACATAAATATCTTTTTTTTTTAATATTTTGTCATCTGATGCAATGGTATTCATTTTTAAAATGTGTGACTTGAGTGTCCAAATACTTTCGGGGTTACTTTACAGCACACATAGTGGAAACCTATTGGAATTTGCATCTCTTCATGCTTTGTTTACACCACGACTCGTGTTTTCTCTGTGCACCTCACTGATTATCAGTCTCTGCTGATTTCAGACTCTCTGGTGGCAGGAGTGAGGTACACCGTATCCGTGTACTCTCTCTCGACCGGCGCTCCTACGCTGCTGCAGAGATGGCAGGGATACTCACAGGAAATGAGTAAGAGAACCATTGCTGTTCACCGCTCATAAGGCGCTTTCACACATACAGTAGGGCCTTTATCGTAAATTCCACAACATTTCTCGGCTTACAGGTCACTTGTCAACAGGACTTGCTGATAAAATATTAAATATTAAACATTTGCTTTGGCAAGTAAATGGTAGCTTTATTTAAAATGAACAGCTGTTGCTTATGTGAATAACATGATCGTGCATTTACTGGAACAGTTAATCCAACGACTTAATCTAACTATGATTTTCTGATATAAATTACAATTTAAAATACAAAAAACTACAGAAATCCAGTAGGGATGCTCCGATCCGCCTTTTTTGCCTCCGATACCGATTCCGATACCTAGGGTTCGGTATTGGCCGATACCGATTCCGATCCGATACCAGTGAAGTTTTTTTCCCTCATTTAAATAAATGTAGAATTTATATATCTCTGTGTGTGGAACTGATAATCATTCTTTCACAATCTACTAGATA